ATTGCTGGTAAGATTGTTTGTATTAATAGTGTTGTCAAGTCTTTTTGTAAAGATTTTGGTAAGACATTTTTTAAGAGGTTCGATAAGTGAAATCAGTCGGACTTGCTCTAGTGTAAAGTCTCATTTGTTCTTTTTTGGTATTAGAAAGATATTAGAAGTTTTCCAGTCAGTTGGGACTGTTTGGAGATATAGATATTTGGAGAGAAAAGAGTGAAGAATGTCTTGACTAAGTAGTGAGGTGTGTTTAATATGTTCATAGCTAGTACTAGAAGGTCCTAAAGCTTTTTGATTAGGTAATTGATTAATTGTTGTTTGCCATTCATTTTGTATAATTTCTGTGAGAATGTTATTATAAAGATATTCAAGCTCAGGGTGTGGCTAGTATAAGGTATAAAATTCTGAGTTAGGAGTTATATCTGGAAGTGGTTGATCTTGAAAATAGTTTTGGAAATGTTGTTGAGTACAGTTAGACCTCCCTAAGTGCACCCCGCTGGGACCATAGGAAAAAAATTAAAAAGTATGCACTTAGAGAGGGTGTGCATTTATAGAGAGCAAATTATATAGAGCTCTTATAGGTTGGGACTGGACTATACCATACATTTAGAGAGAATTTACATAGTCCGTGCACTTAGGGAAGTGCACTTAGGAAGGTCTGACTGTAGCAGATTTGATTTCTTCTAGGTTAGTAAGTAAGGAATTGTTAAGTAGAAGTCTGTCTAGTGACACATTGTTGCTAAATCTTTCCAAGACTTTTTTGTAAAATAATTTAGCATTTTGAGTAAAATTAGTATTACGTTTCTGTAATTTGTATTTAATTTCAGAGGCAGTATATTGTTGTTTTTCTTGTTCTAGAAGTATTTTAATTTGTTTTATTTCTAATTTGAGAATATTTTTTATAGTTGGAATATGAATAGGAGTTTGTATATTAGTAAGATTAAAGAGAGTATTGTTTGTGTATTTGTTATAATAGTTTGTAATTAGTTGAGGGAGTTTAGGAGATTTGATTAGTTTTTTAATTGTTGATATGTGTTTATATTGAAGTTGAATAAGTGTGGTTTGGTGTAAAAAGGATTAAGATTGTTTTTGATTTTAATTTTTTTGTAAGGAATATGTTTAAGGGAAGCTTTTGTAAAGGTTTTGTTAATAGTTTCCCAAGTTTTATCTAGTTCTACTTGGTTTTGAATTTGTGGAATATGTAAGCGAATTTTAGTTAAATTTTGATCTATATGTATTTGGTATTTTTGGATTTGTCAGATGATGCTTGTTTCCAAAGAGAGACTTTCCTAGGAGATTGTTTGTATGAAGAAGAAATTGTTAATAGAATAGAAAATTCAAGTAGAATAATATTGTGATCTGATTCTATTGTAACATCTTCAATAATATCTGCATAGTCCAGAGAAGCTATATGCATATTTGTCCATATTTGGTCAATTCTACTATGACTATTATTGTGACTAAAAGTAAATTTTATAGAATTGAGATAAAAGAGATGAAAGGTATTATGCATGTGGGGAGTAAGAAATTTAATAAGTTGTGATTCTGGTGTTTGTATTCTTTTTGCTGGAGAACGATCTAGTTTGAGATTGGGTGTTGCATTAAAATCACTCATTAAAATTATTTTATGAGTAGTTTTTTGTATAAGTTTAATTATTTGGTTTGTTATTTTAGTTTTTAGTTGTTTTTTTTCTTGTGTTGGAAAATAGACTTGGATAATATGAAGTAGATTGTTTGGAAGAAAGAGATCTAGACAGATAATATGTCCTTGATATTCTTGTATGCATCTAATATATTTAGATAAGTTAATGTGAATATAAATTCGAACACCTCCTTTTCTTGATATAATGGGTGGGCTCCAAAAGTTTAAAAAATTAATAAGGCTTTGTGTAAGAGGTAGGAGATTACTTTCTTTTTCAGTTAGATGTGTTTCTGATAGACCAAAAATATCAATGTATTTTCTATAATATAGTTATATATAAGTAATTGTTTAGAGTTAGTTGAGAGGCTATTAGTATTGAATATACAAATTTTGATAGTTTGAGAATTTGATATAGCATTGTTGTTAAAAGAAGAAGTATTTGGTTGTGTTTGAGAGTTATTATAAGAAGTATTAAAGAAAGATGAGGTAGAAGTAGAATCAGAAGAGGTTATTGACTTAATAAAAAAGTTATAGTATGCTAGAAATTGATATGGCAGTATAATTCTATGATTAATTAAGAGTTGATCATTAATATTAAGGTAAATATGTGTTTTATGTGTATATATATTGAGAGATATTTTATAGGGTTTGTAGAAGGATTGTTTTAGGAGATGATGTAAAAAAGATTTAAAAGTTTGATTAGAGTTAAGTAATGGGAGGTTATGTTTTTTAAGAAATTTGTTATAGCAAGTTTTCTCAGAAAGATGTAATATAATGTTGTCTAAGGAGGGGTTTTTGTCTTTTACAAGGTTGCTCAATGTTTTAGGCTCAGTTCTCACAGCTGTGCAGGTATCCAAAGTCTGCCCTGTGTGTTGGGTCTGACCAACATTATTTTGGACCTCCACATAAATAGGCTTATCCACCTGCCTACTTATATCATTCTTCTTATTAACTACAGAGAGTGTATCTTTTAATAAGGTGTTAGCTGCATTTATGTTGTAGTTAGAAAAAAGAATGATCTAAGAATAAAGATTCTAGATCAGTAGTTTGAATAGGTTGGAAGTTAAGATTGAATTTTTCTTTTAGTATTTTTTTTGCCTCCGGATAAGCAAATTCTTTGTAGTACTTAATAGTTTGAGAGAAGATATAAGTTTGTTCTTGAATACAGTCAAAATAGATTATAATTCTAGCTAGAAAGTGGGTATTAACAACAGTATGAATAGCTTGAGTTATTGCTAATTGTTTAGAGTTGTTAGGTATATTGTGGTTTTCTAGAGCTATTTGATGATAAAGAGCAAGATATTTGTAAAAATAGACTCTACAACAGTTTGGACTTGTAGTGATATTGTTTTGTTTACAGACCGCTTCTTCAGCTATCTTTGCTAAGTCTTCAAGTAGTTTAGTAGGTATGGTTGTTTTGAGAGTAGCTTCATAAGTCCATCAATATAAAAGATAGATGAATCAAGAATAGGTTCTTGAAGTATTTCTGAATATTTTTTGGGTATATTGTATAAGATTTATCAAGTATATCTTTGTATAGTTGGTCTCTTTTATGAAAGAATTTTTCTGTTAGATATTCACAATCTTTATCCTTGCAAGTTAGCATATGATAATTTGTAGCTTTGGTAGCTTTGTGTTAACATTGTAGTAGTTTATGTGGTTTTTGGAATTCAAAGTTAGATGATAAAGATTTGCATAATTGAATAATGAATTGTCGACATATTTTGTTTTTAAAAAGAAGATAAGTTTCATTTTTATCAGGTGGAGTATTGAATTGGTGTGAGTAGGCTTAAAAGAATTTGTTAAACCATTCTTTGTAGATATTTAGTGAATTTGTTAAGGGTGGGATATGGAAGGTTTGTAGAAAAAGAGTTTCAGGAATATTAAATAGAAGTTGAATATTGAATTTTGAGTCTGATTTAATTTCA